TAAGTACGCTTTTCCACGTGTCATGTGTGACCATTGGACTTGATTCTTCAGGTAAAGGTACCTTTCATGGCATACACATTTAGCCGCATGCACACCGTGTTTCTCGCTCGCAGGCGTGTGGGTATTGTTCAGGCCTGAACGCAAGCCCTGGCTATGTGCCCAGTAGGCCGTGGTGCTGCCCGTGAAAAGCTAACCGAGGCTAGAATATTTGAGATGCCCTTTTTAAACAGCTTTAGAATGATGTCAGCTAGTCGTTGCACCGATGGAAGCTATATTGACACGTCTGAAATGGACAAATGATACTGGCGGCCGAAACGTAAAGAGTTCGCTTTACGCCTAGCATCGGCCCTGTTGGTAACTCCGAGTGGGTACGCCCGAATGACATTTTGTTCATGAAGGACCGTCTCCACCGTCTCCATGATGATACCGGAATTGTATGCATGGTTTTGAAATGATGTTGCTAGTGATATCATCGATTTAAACTATGCTGGCACGTTTGAAATGGCCAGACAATGGTAGCTGCCGAAGCGTGAAGAGTCCCCTTATGTCTATCAACGGTCACTATTGGTAACATCGAGTGGACAGATTTCAATGCAAGTTTATTCACGAATTATTTGGATTTCCAGTACTTTCTAAATGTAGCAAAGTTAGGTCATGGAGTCAAATTGGACATTTCATGGCAGGCGGTCGTAATGGAAATGAGTATTGGTTCAAAATGGTGATTTGGCGACGGGCGCTACCAGTCGGAAGTGGACTTCCTTATTCATTTTCCTGTACTGACGTAGCATTTTCTCCGTTTTGTAATGTGTGACCAACGCGTTTTATGGTATATACACATAACCGCATACAAGCCTTGTATCAGGCTTGCAGGCGGTTAGGTATTGCGTTGGCCTTAACGCACGCTGTGGCTTTGTGCCCAACAGGTCATGGTGGGCCCCGAGGAATAATCCATCGCGGCTACAATGCTTTCAGGGTCCTGACCATGATACATGAATGTTCAGATGAACACACGTTCTATGGTACACTGTATAGCGAAAACAAACGAGTTTCGGCTGGCAGGCTGTTAGGTGTTTCGTCGGACGACTGGGCACATGGCACGCTGCTCCTATTTGCTCAGTTAGCAGCAGCGCTGGTCCCCGGGAATAACCCGCCAATAAGAATATACGAATTGCCATTCAGACAGTTTTGGAATAGTGTCGACGAGTGATTTCATTAATGGAAGCTAAACTGACACGCTTGAAATCGGCAGATAATGCTGACGGCCGAATCGTAGAGTCAGCTCATACCTATCACCGGCCACATTGTTAACTCTGCTTCTCTTGTGCGCTCGTTGGGATGTGTGCTTCCTTTCAACGTGTCATATGTGACCGTTGCACTTGATTTTTCACGTAAACATGCCTTTCATGGTAAATACAGTTAGCCGCAGACACACCGTGTTTCACGCTCGAAGGCTCGTGTTGGTATTGCGTAGACCCTAACGCAGGCTCTGGTTATTTGGCCTGGAGGCCGTGGTACTGCCCGTGAAAAGCTTCCCGGGGCTAGAATATTTCAGATGCCATTTTTAACAGACTCTTTACAGCTTTATAATAATGTCCACGAGTCGTTGCACCGATCGAAACTATACTGACACGTTTGAAATGGGTGCATGGTGCTGGCGGCCGAAACGTAAAGAGTCCGTTCATGGCTATCACCTATATGGCTATATTGGTAACTCGGAGTGGACTTAGCTCAATGACGTTGTGTCCAGGAATCATCTGGAGCACCTTGCAGTAGTTTATAAATGCGGAACAGCTATGCCATGCAGTGAAATTCGAGATTTCACATCAGACGGCCGGAAGATAAATGGAAGTGCTTGGCTGGAAAGGTAATATGTGGACTGGCGCTGCGTGCCGAGACCTAGGCAGAGGAACGGCTCAAAAAAGGTGTCACCCATACTCATTTTGCATTTAATTTTTCATTGGTTGCCATGGGGTAAATGTCAAAAATTTTGGAAGGGGGGGTGGGGGGCGGAGTGCCATGAAACGTAGAGATCTCACGTTTGTACGTTAACAGCCCAAACGGCACAACGTGATTGATTTCCCCGTCCCAAATGTGATGGCTTCTTTCTCATGTCATGTGTGACTATTATGCTAGATTTTTAGAACAAAGACACGTTTCATGACATTCACATGTAGCTGCATGCGAACCTTGTGCCATGCTCACAGCGGGTAGGTATTGGGTCAGCCTGAACGTACGCTGTGGATTTGTGCCTAATATCCAGCATTTGTTTTCTGAACATTTTAAAATGATTTCATCATCGTTCAACATCATTCAGAATTACGTGTTGTTAAGTGCATTAGCGAGGAACATTACTCACATAGATAAGACAGAGGATTGGCCTTATTCCTCGGAGAAAAACCTGGACAATGGGGATATATGGGGACAATGGTTCGGTTGATATTTCGGCAAGGTACTTCATCGAAGCGATAGCAGAAGCAACCTTCAAATAGCAATAGCAATAGCAATTAAAAAACAAGAGCGGTAGCAAACTTCTGCCATTGTTTCAATAGAGACATGGTGGCGAAATTTCAACCGAACTATATCTCCATTGTCCTGGTTTTTCTGCGAGGAATAAGGTACTATTGTCTTATCAACATCATTCAACTCTACGGGTTAATGGCTTCTTATATCTCTATATGTTTGCGGTTCCTCACTGAATAATGAAAAGCGCATGAATGTAATCTATCATTAAAGCATGTAGTAATATGTACATACATATATATATATATATATATATATATATATATATATATATATATATATATATATATATATATATATATATATATATATATATATATTACTTCAGCTTCAGATCGACGCAATACTTAACCGCCTGCAAGTCTGCAACAACGCTTGAGAGCAGTTATGTGTGTACCATAAAGGGAGTGTTTCCCTAAAAAAATCAAATATGGTTGTTGTACATGACGTAGCAGAGAAAACAACAGACTTCGGACGTGGGAATCAATAAAAAGGTGTTTTGTCCCAAAGGTTAGGGAACGGCGGTTACATGGGTGTTGTCCCTCCCCCCCCCCCGTTCCAAGAATGTTCAGCACGAATCGTTCCAGTACAAAATCAGTTTGGGCCACCCCCACCTTTCTGACACGTTTCTCCGGTCATGTGTCCGCTGGTAGCACAAGTCGATAAATCACTTTTCCAACCAAACGTCTTTGTAACCCTTACCAAACCTTACTCCGCCTGCAATGAAGTTCAAATTTCACTGCATGACCAAACTTTGCTGCACTTAAAAACTTTTGCAAATGGTTCCGAATGATTGAGGAACAGTTAAGTTCACTCCGAAATATCATGACCGATGATAAGCATAGACTACTTTTTATGATTCGACCGGCAGCATTATCTGCCCGGTTCAAACGGGTCAGTATGGTTTTTCTCCGATGCAATCATTCGAGGACATCCATTAAAACTGTTTCGAGCTAAATTAGGTATATAATATGATATATATATATATGAATTATATATTATATATATATATATATATATATATATACATATATATATATATACCACACACATATATATATGTGTATATATATCTACTATCTATATATATATACTATATATATATATATATATATATATTATATATCTATATATATATGTGCGTAGACGTGTCGTCCGCTGATTAGCCGGCCCTCATTACAGACCTAAGCCGACGCTCTTCCCTCCGCAAACTTGTCGGCCGGAAGGTAAGAACACCGAGGATTTATGAAAAACCAGGACACATAAAATATAAATTGCAAAATGACCGTGGCAGTCCAAGCACCGCCAAAATGAAAGATACCTCGTAACTGTTAAGAATATACAGCAACCTAGATCCCAAAAAAGAGGAACGTACTAAGTAGCTATTGCAGCCTTTGCACGAGCACACGTTCCACGTCAGGAATCACTTGTCGCTAGGTACTCACCGATATGGATCTCCACATGGCGCCTGGCGCTGTCGACTGTACGTGAACACGGACCAAGTCACACAGGCGCCGCCTGAGCCCCAAGGTAGGCCAAGAGCTGCTTGCCCATTGCGGGGAACAGAGGGGGACGCCGACTGATAAGAGCCGGCCAGCCTGCGCGGCGAGTCGTCCAGACGCAAACAGTTCGAGAAACACGACCCGTACACGACCCAAACACGAAACGACTCGGGCACGGTAACGCAGCCAACCCAGGCGTAACAGGGAAAAGGCCGTAAACCCCAATCACCACCACTCTGCGACTGCACTGCACGGCCCCGAACCACGGCTCCGTTCCCGGGAGACGACCGCACAGGGGAGCAGTCTTCAACGACAGAAACGACCCCAATTACGGCTTCCATTCTCTTTTAATGCTGCTTGTTTAGGACTTTGCTGAATTCTTAGAAATTATCCATTGGCAAAACCCACCTTAAATAAAAAGGCAAATTCAACAAATCTTCAAAATTATTTAACTTCAAAACCAATAGGTCTGCCCAAGGGAGAACAAGGCATATCTATGTAACTTTACACTCACATGAAAGTTTGACAAGGCCGCTCCGTAGGTTGATGAAAAGAATTACGTTCTTTCCTTCCATAACCCTCTTGTGCGTTTTCGTGGCGTATTCAGCTCGGATTTCTTGGTGGAAAATACGCATTCTCTCCAATGCTAAATCCTCCCCAAGAGCCAGACCTCGGAGCACATGATTATGCGTGTCCGCACGAGTGTTTAGGATGCTTTGTGACGTCATTGTGATATGTTGCATATAATTTTCCATTCTGATAGTTTGACATGAAAATTTGATAGCAAACACGTATGTAACGTCTGAATCGCTTTTTTCCTCCATATGCGCTAAATAAGCGTTATGTTTATGTATGTATTTATATATCTATAAATGCATGGCTTACTATGACGTCATTTGTTTTCATGTCAATTTCATTGTGTAATCCAGAAAAGTTGAATCGTGTCGTGACAGCTGATCCCGTGTTATTTCCCCTCCTTGGCTATCCGCCCCGCCAGGAGAGCCGATTGTTTGCGGTTCGGCGTTCTGGTTTCCGCGTGGGCTGGGGAGTGTCGTCGGTAGACGGTAGGTGAGTTGAAAAGATGCTGGTGGGCGGGGTCAGACCTGAGTGCGTACTGCACTGTGAGGAAAGATTGTGTACCATTGCCAATGTTGAAAAATGATTCAGCCGAAACCCGCCAACTGCGTGCCTCTTTCAGTCGTGCGTGTGGCGCGTTGCCAGTTTTGGGGACGGGCTCACGCCTCACGTTGAAAACGGAGGACGATTTTTCGTATTCTTTCCAGTGTACATTTGTGGGGACTAAAATGTCTTTGGGGCGAAAAACACCAAGAAACACCAAAATTTCAGACGCTGCTGTAGAGGATAGTATGCCGAATGTTGTGAGGCTCCCTATAGGTACAATTGGAGTCAAAGCTTCCTTCTTGAAAATAAATTGATTATCACATTTTGTAGGTCCAGTCATCATTTTAGGTAGGACATTAGAATCTATGTCCTCCCACTATATATAATTTAACATTGTATCTTTATGGAAAAACATACAAAATGCCAAACACCATGGCAGAGTGAAGCTTTGAACTCTTTCCTGTGTTCTTGGTTAATTCCAGGGAAGACAGCAATCACAGTCTTCTCTTTTGATGTGCTGACCTATGATCACCTTTGACCCAGCCCCCACCCCTACCCCCAAACAAGGCCCCAATAGCACTTCAGCCCCTGCGGAACAAAGCATTATAAAGGGGGCCAGGATGTCTCATGTCCTCTCCTCTCATCCAGATAGGGGTTTGGGCTTCTCCAATACTTTGTACAAATAACCCTGTTCACAATGTCTGGCTTTGTGGAGCAACTGGTCAGACAATGTTAATGGTGATGTCCGCAATAAAGCAATGACATTCACTGACAGTGTCACTTTTGTGCTTGCAAGGGACTATTCAGAACTCAAATGGGCTGTTTGCATCCCACAACAATTGTGTGCTAGCCTTTGCATGTGACATTGTGACAGGCACCTTTTGTGACATGTGAATGGGCACCTTTTGGCTGGTGCATGCCCACCCAACAGCCAGCTATTTGCATGGTGCACTGTCCTAAGCTTGCTAGTATGGATACTGCCTCTATAGGGCAGCGGGGGGGCTGAAGCATGGCATTGTGTGCAGGCCGGGGGTTGGGTTAAACCACTGAGGGAGAAGACCACGTGGCGGCAGCCAGTGGCCAGGTCGGGTCAGGCCAGGGACCGTGCTGCGTTGGCCGAGCTGCCACCCTGGCTATTGATAGGGTCTGTGAATCTCGAGGTGGTCATTTCAATGTTGATAACACTGATCCGTCCTGATCTGTACCTGGATCTTATCTGCAGCCTGGTCTTGCACTGATCTGCACTGAGCAGGCTTCGTGAAATGAGCTGTAACTGGCATATTTGTTCCAGGTGTTTAAGTGATGATGTTTAGGTCACCATATTCTTTGCTCTCAGATGGCTTTTGCATGATACAGGGGCTCGTGCAGATGGTAGCAGGTGTAGGCTGCATGATGCTGGGCATGGTATGCTCGCTGATGAGCGTGGGCATATATGGCAGCCGTGTACACTCAGCTGTGTCAGAACTGGCTGCTAGAGTCTTAACACAAATCGTCCTGTTAGCTGGAGCTCCGATTCCAAAACTGTCCCTACATGATTTTAAGATGAATTTACGATATCCTTAAAGGTATAGTATAATTGCCCACCAACGTAGCGTCACTGTCAGGGTTTTTCTGGATGTTGTACGGGCTTCAGGTGGCCTTGGAACTGGCTGCTGACAGCTGATGACTGCGCATATGTGCGCATACATGATATAAGATATATCATATATAATATATCATATACGCATATAAAATATATGATGTACGCATATTGTGCATATGTGATACGAGTCTCCTTACGATCCGCCAGCAAAAGTGACGGCAATGCTCAGCGCAAAACAATCAGCGGACGTTGCAGCGGAGCGTCCTTTTTCTTCGCGCGGAAGGCTTTTGGGAACGAGGTTAAAGCGAGCTCTGTGGTCTAACGTGGGCTGAGTTGGAACTCCCAGACCGAGTGTAAGAACAGTTTGGATCAGCCGTCACAGGTCTCGCTACATTTCACTGAGCGAACAGTTCTAGAGAGGCTCCTGTCAGTGGGAACGTGGCAGCATCAGCACTGCAGCCCTGGCGAAGGTTGGGTCGTTTAGACGGGATGTTTGCGAGGTATCGCTATCTCGTCTGCAACGCTGCGCTGGGAGCCCCCAAACGTGATGTACAACCGAGAGAGTACAAGCACTCGTAACCGCCGTCAAGCTAACTTCCTTCTGAGCCGCGCTGTCCTCTGCAGACGGGCCATGTCGTGCGGCGCGCCCGCGGAGCCGGCGCCGACCCAGCCGTGGCGCAAGGTCCTTTACCAGCGCCAGCCGTACCCAGACAACTACGTGGCCAACGCTTTCCTCGAAGACCTCAAAAAGAACGTGCGCGTTACACTGTGGACTCGCTGGGAGGCGATATCGGGCGCTGCCGCGCTGCTCCAGCAGATGGCCAGCGTGGCGCTGGTGGGGCTGGCCTTCGCGCACCTGGACGACGGCTCGCTGCCGCCCGAGCCGCTGCTGGCCGGCATCGCCGTCTCCACGGCGGCCGGGTACGCTTGGCTGCGCGCCGGCGGCGGCCGCCGCAGTCTGGCCGCCGACCTGCGGCTGGCGGCCGTGTTCCTCGTGTTCGGCTACGGGCTCTCACCATTGCTGGCCACGCTCACCGACTCGGTGAGCACGGACTCTGTGTACGCGCTGGCGGCGGCCGCCATGCTACTGCATCTGGTCACGCACGAGTACGGGCCGCGCGCCGCCTGCGTCTCAGCCGCCGTCTCGCTCAACGCCGGCCTGTTTGGCGCGCTCTGCTTGGCCTCGCGGCTGCCGGGCACGGGGCACGTGTTCGCCTTCCTCACGCTGGCCGCTCAGCTGCTGGCGCTGCCGCCGCCGCTGCGCGCCCACGTGCGCCGCCGCCACGGCCGCGCCGCGCTGCTGCTGCTGGCCTCTGCGCAGGCGAACGCATCGCTGCTGCTGCTGGTCTGCCGAACGCTGGCCGGCGCCGTGCTGCTGGCCGCCGCCTACCTGTTGGCCTGTCCGCTGCTGCCCATGTTGTACGTCAGTGGCCAGCGCTTCAAGGACAACATCTACGGGCCATGGGACGAGGCCATTCTGGAGGACACGCGCCAGACGATCCGGCGAGATGATCGCAGGCGATGCGAGAGTGAATGAGCGACTCAGGGTGTGATGGAGCGATGGGAACGAAAGAGCAACTTCCGGTGCGATGGAGCGACAGAGCAACTTCCGGTGCGATGGAGCGACGCGAACGACAGAGCAACTCCCGGTGCGATGGAGCGACGGAAGCGACAGCAGTTCCCGGTACGATGGAGCGACAGAGCAGCTCCTGGTGCCATGGAGCCACGGGAACGACAGAGCAGCGCCCGGTGCGATGGAGCGACGGAAGCGACAGAGCAGCGCCGGTGCGACGGAGCGACGGGAGCGACAGAGCAGCGCCGGTGCGATGGAGCGACGGGAGCGACAGAGCAGCGCCGGTGCGATGGCGCGACGGGAGCGACAGAGCAGCGACGGTGCGATGGAGCGACGGGAGCGACAGAGCAACTTGCGGTGTGTCGAGCCCCGGAGCGGCATCTTGGGTGGTTGCTCCGTGGTGATGGGCTGGGAGGAGCGATGAGGTTCACCAGCGGTATAGGCCGTGAAAAGGGACAAAACTGCCAATCGTTTTCAACCGAACGCCCAGCCAAACTGCTAGGCGAACCGTTAGAAGCGTCAGAGTGCCTGATATTGCGCTTGACGCCCGTGGTGTGACCTGACAGAAGTAAACCGTCACATTCAGTTCCGAGCTGCAGTAAACAGCTCGACGGGCTCGGCATCCCGGAAAGACAGTGCAAATAGCTGCAGCGAGATGGCTCAGGCCTAGGCCATCACTATGTACCGGGGCTGTTTGGTGGAGAAGATCGCCTGCCTGCCTTTGTTGTCGTGAGTTTTGTTTTCTCGCTGAAGTGCAACTTGTTGGTAGCAGTCGCATGATATGAGCAAAAGGGTTGTCATGGGCGTCTTGCGATGTGCCCTTTGTGCTGCGAGCGCGATTTAGGTTCGTAAATAAGTGTTAGTTTTATAGAAGCGATCTGCAGTGCAGCTTTTTGTTTGCTTTCAGCATAATATATTCAGAGCACACAGCAATTGTTTATTTCCTATGAACACTCGAGCGCTAAACGTTTTAGAACATATGTGATTTCATTGGCATAATGTTTGAAGCTGGCTTGGATGGTGTGGCTTGTCATCATATCGAGCGTTTGCCCCACTTCCGGATACGTTGTAGAAAGAAGCGAGAATGTATATTTCAAATGACGCTACAAGTCGCCTTCTTTTTAACCACAAGGATAATACGGAGCCACCCACTCGCACCTGATCGGCGCGTAATGGACAGTGCTGGACCAGCCGATCGGCCGCCGCGCCTGGCCGGAGCCCTGTTCTAGCTGCGCCCCGACCGAAGCCTGTCTCTAGCCGTGCCCCGACCGAAGCCTGTCTCTAGCCGCGCCCTGACCGAAGCCCGTCTCTAGCCGCGCCCTGACTGGCGCACGTCTCTAGCCGTGCCCTGACCGAAGCCCGTCTCTAGCCGCGCCCTGACCGAAGCCCGTCTCTATCCGCGCCCTGACCGAAGCCCGTACCCTGACCGAAGCCTGTCTCTAGCCGCGCCCTGACCGAAGCCCGTCTCTAGCCGCGCCCTGACTGAAGCCCGTCTCTAGCCGCGCCCTGACCGAAGCCCGTCTCTAGTCGCGCCCTGACGGAAGCCCGTACCCTGACCGAAGCCCGTCTCTAGCCGTGCCCTGACCGAAGCCCGTCTCTAGCCGCCATGTCGTCGGTGGTGGTTCCGCGCTCGGCGGTGGAGAGGAACGGCGAGGGCGTCACCTGCCGCGTGCAGCACCTGCCCTGCCGCGTCGAGCACCGCGGCCCCGCCAACATCGACGTGTATTTCACGCCGCTCGTGTGCGAGACGGCGCCGGGAGGTGAGCTGGAGCGCCGGCGCTGGTGGTGGGATGGGGGCAGGGCTAGGGGTGGCAGTGCACGGCGTTGTCGTGCCCAAGGGATGTGCGATGGCTCGGGTAGGCCGGTTTTAGTTGCGTGGTGCTGTTGTTGTTGATTGGAGTTTTAGGGCGCGCCGACTACTGTGGTCATTTTGCGCCCTAGTTGCGTGGTGCGGGTTGCCAGATGGTGTAAGGTGCAGTGAATGCGGCTCGGGTAGGCCGGTTTAGTTGCGTGGTGCGGGTTGCTAGCTAGTGAAAAGTGCGGTGAATGCGGCTAATGTTTGCGTGGTAATGTTCCGTATGATAATTGACAGCTGTTCCTCGATACTTAACGATACCACGCGCAGTGTAATATCAGATGCATTTTGAGACGAGCACTCCAACTTGGAATGCAGCCCAATGTGGCTGAGGAATCGCTAGACTTCTGTTTGAAGTTCGGCTGAACAGTTGATGGTATTAGCAGGGGCATCAGTATGCAGCGTTTCTGGACGGGATGTCTATCCTCCGTAGACGTCACCTACGTCACCCTCGGACGTCCCTCTGACCACCAGTGCTCGAAGGTCAGTTTCGCGGCCACCCGCTAGATGGTATCACGGTGGAGGTGCCGGCTGGCTACGAAGGCATCGTGGCGCGCGAGGAGAAGGGGACGGACGGCACGACCTACGTGGCGACGGAGCGGTTCCGCCGCTTTACCACCTGGAACTGGGACCGCCAGCCGTCCTCCGCCGCTCCGCTCTGGGACTGGCTGGATGTGGCGAATGTGGTAAGCCGCCCCTGTCTGCCTCGAGGGCCGCTCGGCGTCTGGGCGGCGTCATTCGTGGTCCTCTGTGGGAAATTGGCTATCTCTAAGGGCGCCTGCTGGTGTCACATGAAGCTGACAAAAGGTGTTTGCATTAGCAGCTGAGCTGCTGTAGTGTTGCCGACGGCGTCTGCGTTCGCTGCGATGCCTGCGAGCAGGCCGGTCAGGGCCGAGCACCTAGAGAGCCTGGCGACGTAATGTGGCCTTGAGAGAAGCGTGATACGTGATAGTCCGTGGATGCTGCTCATGTAAGTTCACATCTGCAACAGTCACACGCACTCCGCCACACGAATCAGAATACGCTGCGGTCACAAAGTGCTGCATTTGAGCATTTCATTTTGAAGTCAGGGTGGTGTCGCCTGGCTGCGAAATTAGTCCTGAAAACAACCTACATGATATTGAAACCAAGGCTGTTCGGATTAGTTTATTTTGTTTTGGATTTGAATCAAGCTGAATGCACAATGAACATTGCTTCATCCGACCGTGAGATGTATGATAGTTTAAGGAAATGTTTCACATTTGAAGATATTGAGGCATCAGATATTATGATACAAGCTCACTTATAACTACTTTTTTAATTGGGAAACACTGCTCTAGACAGCACCCTTTTCTGTTTGGTAAATATGCTCCTTAATGTGTAATGGTTGAATTACGTTATCGTACCTTGCACAACATTGATTGAGAGCTAATTAACAGCCATTGTATGTGGAAATCCTGCTCACGAACGCCAGATATGAACGCCTCGACACTTTTATATGTCTTGGTCTTGACCGCCGCATGGCTTATGGAATGACAGGATTTTAATGTCGCCATTATTACGTCTTGAGTGCCACGATGACTTTGAAGTGCTCCCCCGAAATGCTCTTCCTGTTTTTGCGGGCGTGTAGCTCAGAAACTAGAAGGGCTCAGATCTCAAGAAGGGCAGGTAATGGACAGCGCCGAAAGGTGTTCAAAATGGCTCAAAATGGCTTTCGGCTCAAAGTTTCATATAAATGTGGAACACTCTTAAATATGTGTTTTTTTTTTAATCAAAGATAGGTGTTTTGGAACACGTGCTCGTGGCTTGAGTGATGTGCACTCAGGATCCCTGGTAGTCATGGGGCTTCATTTTTTGCCGCTATTGCACGCGAACCATAAGCTGATCGAAAGGTCGAGGTGTCGTATTTGTACTTGACCTGGCAGTCCTCCGTCTGCCCTCGTGATAGCGGTGCCAGCAGCGCATAGTACACGCTGTCCAGTTTGCCTGTTACGTGCGCGCATTTTCTAAAGCAGATATAGAGGAATCAGGCTGCTCAAAAGTTTTTTCGTTTGTTTCGAATTGTGCGGAAACCAGCAGAAAGAATCAGATGAGAAATGCGCAATCCTTATAAATTTGGCTAAAACAAGTATTAGGCATGCCCATGTCTTAAAACTATCAACGAAGGCACATATATGCGCGCTTTCCGAGCGTGGAGCTCCGTATTAAGCGAAGAATCCTGGCAGATAGCAGCTTCTTAATTTTATTGTGCCATCTAAATAGCGTGCAAGTCAGGAAAGTAAAGGCTAAAGTACTCAGCCAATGATCTTATCCGTCAACACGTGACGTTCGGTTTCCACAGCACATTCCTCGTTTTTTGAGCCGGGATGCATGGGCTTAAAAGTTGTGTTTGGTACGCCAGCCAGCAATCCTTCCGTGGTCGGAGCGCATTCCTGTGCAATGCAGTCCCGTCGCCACCTCGACACTCTAATCTCAAGCGTGACCGTGGCCGTGAAGGGCGCCTACAGCACGAACGGACCGCTCGGTGGAAAGTGTAGTCGTCACGCGGTGAACTCCGTACCAGCTCCCAGCCGGAGCCCTGTTCGCAACAGACAAGTTTAACCGCAAGTAGAAGGACCGCGACGGGACCTCTGTTATCCCGCTGCATGGTCACAACGCCGTGGATGTAACGAGACAAGAGCAATCGTTATCGTGAGAATGTTACTTCTGCATGGTGCGGTTTGCCCTTTCCCCCATTCACCGGTTTCTGTGTGGAATGGTTCAGTATATATTATGCGACGGTGTTATTTTCTCCTTCATATGTTTTCAAATCTGTAGTATTGCTGACAACAGCAAATCGCGCGAGCTGCTGCCAAAGTTTTCACTTGTTGTCGACTCTACTGGTCTATCAAAAAGTGCTTTTGGAGCTAAATGTGTCAGAAGTAGCGGCATACTGTTCCGGTACATATGACACCCCTTATCCCCCTAGAAGCCCTCTTTACGCTTCGATAGCTCCATGGCTCTCACGTTACATGGACCCTGGGTGCAACAAGTGGTGGTGCTTCTGTGACGATGGAAGTGCGCTGTCGTAAATGACAGCGTGTCAGGTCGTAGTGTAAAGGCGGCGGACTAAAAAGCAGCAGACACTGCTTCATGCGGGACATGTTGTTAAACTCGTTTATTGGAATCAGGATGTGTCGTTCCATTCGCGCAAAATAAAGCCATTAAGATGCGTAGCGGAGGTGCGAGACGACAGACACCAAAATCAGCAATGGTCATCCTGGAGAAGAACCAAGCACCAAACTGGTGAACTAACACCTTCGCTAGCCGATATCATTTAGTTTGATCAAGGAGTTAGAAAGTCAGACTCTTGATGAGACATGAAGAGGCGGAGGCTCACTTATGTGGCATTCACTCATTAACACTTGGCATTCGCAAAATGTGCTGCTTTAAAATTCGTTGTGTATGAATGTTTGACCAAATAGTTTGCATGTAGATCCCGAGCAATTTTACAGCTTAAAATTGGAAAAATCGCACTTCTCTTCCGTGCAAAGGGTATGGGCAACCACGCGTCAGTGGTTGCAAACACATCGGCTTCTGGAAGAAGTAATGGCCGTGCCGGGCCGCTTAAAATAATTCATTTTCACCGCGATGCAAGATTCATCCTGCCTGAAGCCTCATACTATTGCGAAATTAGCTTGGGAAACCCAATCCTTATTAACGGGTTTCTGTAGACATTTGGCAAATGCACGGAATGGGGGTGGGTTCAAGTTTTTCAAATCTACATTCACGTCATCCAGCAAAACTTAAATCGTTGCACGTACGTCGGGCGTTTACGTGTTTTGGCAACAAAACGTTGCATGCCGCAACGGGGAGGCGGAGGGGGCTGGACTTGGTGTCTGCGGTTCCCGTCACGTGCACGTGGATTCTGATCTCTGCCATCTCTGGCCATCCACATGGACGATAAGTCCACGAAGTCTTCCCGTCAGACGGGTCCCTGGCGTGTGCGGAAAAGCCCGACCCGCCGCGCTTTCGTCTGACGGACCGCTGGGAGCACAGCGGGGCGTTGAGGGAGTGTCCGAGGCTGTGGCTGTGAAGGTCGACGGGCGCGCATTATTCATCGGGTCGATGAACAGTCCGGGCGATGGGGCAGCGGAGCCGGATGGCCCGCTAGCTATTGGTGGTTGGACTTGGCATCACCCGCTTCACATCCGTTTCTTCATGTCACTTTTAACTGAATATTGTTTGCAAGCGGCCGATGCCGTCGCCACCTCACTTGCACGCAGTAAACCGTGGAAGGGCGCAGCAGTTACGCACATATATAACACAACAATATGCCGCAGACGGTTGATGCAAGTACCGTGGCGGAAGGCACCCATTTTGGGTTCAAAGTACTGATCGCGGCTTACGCGCAACATGTTTTAGTGCAGTCTTGAAATCAATCGACAAGCCTGAGGCTGCAGATGGTGGGACAAAACAAAACAAATGCGTAATATCCGGAGAACATGAATGCCAAGATGTTTTAAACGTTAGACTGAAATACAGTTATTTCCTTGACGGTTAGGGACATAACATTTACGCAGTTTTATTCATGCTATAAGATGCTTGATATATTGAGTACCCGTGGGTCTTTGCTTCCGTTCTGCTGTCGGGACCGTGCGTATGTGTGGGACGGCACTCCTCTGTCAGAGTGTGTAGGGCGCTGAACTGGCTTGTGCCGTAGTCATGGACGTCGCGTTGGGACATACTAGCGTGCAGTTTAGACAATTGAGGTTCTGAATACCTAAAATTATTCAGCATGGTGGGAGAACAGTTCATGCGTGCGTTGCTGAAGGCAAATACTGTTTCGGAATGTTTCACGTGTTTGTCTCGAGTTGACCGTCTCAAAATATGCCTAGCGGCAAAGGTTAGCAGTTTCTGTAACTTCCCGGACCTTTGATCGATATGTTCTGCCGATCAAAAGCCTCTAGTTTTGTTTGGCTGCTTTTCTGATCTGTTGGCGAGCTGTTGGGATGCCAACCACAGCAATGAAGACTAAGACGACTTTTAGCGCTGCGGGTGGCTGTGTTGTTGGGCGTACCGTTCGGGGTGCTGTGCGCAGCAGGGCCGGACCCGAGGCCTGACGGCCGTGCGTCTCTGACCGGCAGCTGCACTCGACGGCCGAGCAGGATAACTGAGCGGGCGCAGTGTCTCCCAGCCGCCGACCGCGGCTCGGCAGATCACCGGCCACAGCCGCGCGCACCACGGACGACGGAAACCGGCCCGGTGCGGCCGACCCGGACCTGAGAGCCCCCTGATCGTCCCTAAGCCGACCTATCAGCCGTGGGAATGCCCCGCGATGCGGCCAGCAGACCTGGAAGCGGGGGGAGGGGAGAGACTGTCACAGCCCCGCAGCTGTCTGTGTGGGGGATTAGCCGGAGCTTGGCATACCTGACCCCGGATCGGGGCTCGAGGCATTGCTTTCTTGTCGTGACCTGTAATGGAAGCGTGTGAAAAGCCGTCTTCCGTTGTGATTTCCCGCATCTTGGGAAATGCCGCTCGTGAATCCAACTTTCACATTTTTAGACTGCATTCCACACCGTTGTCACGTACATTTATCTGGTTTAATACATTGGGTGCATCATGTAACATTTTGGGGATGAAGTGTATAAAACCGATCGATGTGGTCACGCATGACCCGGGGCATGGTAATCTGAAGGTGGAAGCTCAGGGATCCAGCTGTAAGGTTTGTACGGGCTTAGTGTTTCTTTATCTCATGTTCCGTTCACTGTACAAAGAAAAGCATCGCTCACGATTTCTGTGCATACCGAATGCTGCACGCTATAATCTATGATACTGCTGCATGATTGGGACGCGCGCTGGTGCACATCAAGAGAGCCCGTAACACATGCTTCCAGCTAAAGGCACCTTCATTAGCAATGTGTTGCGGACCCTGTCCCGTCAGGTAAAATGTAAGATATAAAATGGCCCGGAGGGGCACCGCCCTCGGCTGGTGTGGGGGCTAGCACTCCCTCAGATCCCAGTCTCGATAACTGATGGGCAGCGTGAGTTTTTGCTTCGGGGCGCAGCGACCCCGCCGCTACGTAAGCTTCTGATCCTTGTCCCGCCCCCTCCCTGCCACCCGCATCCCTGCATCCCGCACTCGCATTACTCATCCTCGTTTTATCGGGGCCGCCGTACACTCGCACCGCTCCTCATCATCGTCTTGTCGGGGTTGCCGTGCTCGCTCGCCCGCGTCCCTGGTGTGATCGGAGCCTGGTGACAGAGGGACGCGTCGTGCGGGTCGGTCGCATCCTTGGTGTGATCGGAGCCGGGTGACAGAGGGACGCGTCGTGCGGGTCGGTCGCGGCGCGCCACTACACTCCAGAATATCCGGGACGTGGCGACCCAAGGGGTCTTGCGGGTCTCTGCGGGTCTTCGTAGCGGCTTTTTACCGGCGCTGCATGCCGGATGCTCTCCGCCGGTCTCCACTTGGCACACCGGGTTGCTTGCGGCAGCTTAAGGGTGCAAGGGGGGGGGGGGGGGGGGGCGCTGAATCTTGTTCAGGACGGGCAGGGGTTTCCCCGGTTACACCTGGCCGTGTGGGAGGCTCGTCGTTCACCAGGGTATACCCTGGTTCTACCACGTCTTCCTCTGAGTGAGCAGCCGTACCTCAGTTGGGCTCCGAAGTAGGTGTGGAGCCTCAGTGCCGAATTGTAACCGTACGTACAGAACAACTTCCAACAACAAAAACCCGCGCCCTGCAAGGGAGACGGACTGAGGTCGTTAAAGGTGGTAGTGATTCGGCATCTACCCATCGAGTCCTGACTTCAAAGTATCGAGAAGGCACTGTCGTCCCTTTCGCCGTTTCAAAGGCGAAGTGGCTGTGGTGGACTTGGAGAGGCTGTCCGCTGCGACAAGCTCAGGGACGGTGAGAGCGGGGAAGGGCTGGAAAACGGAGGCGAGACGAGCTATGACACCGGGCAGGTTTGTGCACTCGTTCGGGACGCGGGAGACAAGAGGGACGTGTCGGTCACGATAACGGTGGAAGTTCACAAAACCGACAACTTCGTAAAAAGACATCATAAAATGTACCGCCGGAAAGACGTCAGTAATGAGATTGTTGACGGGCTGGATGATTTCGGAATGACCGATGCTCGCCACATTATGGTAAGCATTATGGTAAGCTGAAGTTATTTCCACAAACACCTTCCACCTTGTTTACACCTTGTTTCCTCACTTTTAACCGTCCTGACACCATCTGAGGTCAGGGTGGGTTATCTGAAGGTGAAGGTGCACCTTTTTGTTTTGAACCCGGTGAGATGCTTTAAGTGCCATATTTTCGGTCCCACCCGTCCTCGTTCCGTAATCAGCCTACCTGTGGTAAGTGTGTGTTGCGGGAGCACATGACTGACCAGTGCGCTCAGGACAGGCCATGGTGCATAAACTGTGGCAAACACCAGACGCCTCACGCAACTCTTGATCGTGCATGCCCGGCCTGCGCTAGAGAGACGGAAATTATGGCCCAGAAAACTTCGTGAAGTGATAGCTTTATATGAATCAAGCCGCGACAAAGTACCATATGCCACAAGTTAAGTTTTCTGTCACGCACCAAGTTTGCTTGAGTTAGATGGCTGCAGCTCACCTGGTTCAACTCCACTGTCTTCCCTCGGCTCGTCGGCACCTCGCACCCCCTCTGAGGTGTGGGCCAGGTCAATACCCGCTGGGTCGCCGCCTCAGCCTTCAGGGGCGGAAGACAGTGAGTAAGCCGTAGTTCCGCCGGGACCGCACCTTCCCCCCCCCCCCCCCCCGGGTAAGAGGGCGCAAGCGCCTTCTCCGCCGCAAACCGCAAGAGCTTCAGTGCCGACCGCAATAAATGAGGTTGTGGGAAGGACACTGGGAAATCTAGAGCGTATTTTATGACACCGTATGTGTTTCGCAGGCGTTACGTCTCATTTGCATGTGTTGCGTGTTCTATGTTCTGTGTTGACCTATGTGGTATGTACTGACGCGGCGTGAGAATAGCCGCTCGCTGGATCTCGCCAAGGTTCGCAATAATAATGATGATAGTGATGATAATAATGATAATAATAATAGTAATAATAAATAGCGTCACGAGGCTGAAAGGCGTGCTCGCGAGGCCAAGCGTGCTCGCCTGCTCAAGCAATAGAAGGTCAAGACAGCCAACCGGCTGTCGGGTGCGGACCTCAGATCTGCTTCAGCGAGCAAGGCAGTTCCACCGGCGCTGACTCCATCAGGCGCTCGGCCGTAGCCAGCGATCGGTCCTCCGCCTCCTCCGCTGCCACCCAGGGTCACCGCTTCTCCAGCAGTATCCCCACGCAGGGTGCGACGCCTCGAGAAGCGTGAGGCACTTGACCCAGCTCAGCGTCAGACGGCGGCAGCCCTAACATCCGGTCAAGCATGGGTGTAGGAACAGGGGGCTGGGGGGGGGGGGGGGGCATGGTCACCACCTTCCAAGTTGGAGGGCCAGCAGTGTTAACTACCCTCCCTCATTTTTCAAATTAAGGTTGCGTTTGGCTTACTTTTGGACTAAATTAAGCATACATGCCGATTTACCTAGTTCACCAGCCATCTTCCTCAAGATGCGTCATCTGTTTCGTTCGCTCATTGGCCATCGCCTAGTGTCACAGCCGCAGAGCCGACGCCGTGCGGCCTTTGGAGACTGCAACGTCGGGCGTCGAGACTGTTATGACTTACGAGCGTGCATGTTCAAAACCATGTTACGTAGCTTTGTATCAGTGGGCAGTTCTGACCGCATCTTGAACAGTTTGAAACGAACATGGATTAGCCGTGTTAATACAAATGTGGGACTTCCTTCATTTGCAATCTACGTTCATGGGCCCTCCATGTCTTTGGAGAAACAAAGCATGGAACTGGAGACTATGTGACAATGATTGGACCACCTGCGGCGACTAGGGGTGTTGCGTCATTGAAGGTTCCTGTGCTGATGTGGGGCCAACTGCGCGGGTCGGAAGGCCTCCCGTGTCAGGGAGGGGAACGAAGTGATATGATACATCCTTCGAATGGCCCTCCGGATCGACCAGGAGTTCCTGCGCCGTGTCGCCAGAATGACAGCCGGAAGACATTTCGCGATGGGACAGAATGGCCCTTTAGCCCTTGACCGGGAACGATTATGCGCCCCTGGTGTTTTGCTCAAAGGGCCCCTTGTCCGGAAGGAAATAAGGGGTCCCAACATTGTTGAGCAGAGTGGGTCAAACTGAGTAAAAAAAGAATAAGGCCGCCCCATGTTTGCCTGAGAACGTTCATTTTTCAGAATGGATTAGTGACACAAGTTCTATCAAAAGGTTTGAACATGCCTGCCCGCAGCCCCGAGAGCAAGGACAACGCCGGCCCAGGTTGCAGCCTCCGTAAATACGAAGGGCGTCGGCTAGTGCAAGTGCCGCCAGACGGCGGGCGCCGCGTTAATCTGTCCTCTGGACAGATTGATAGTTACAGAAACACGAAAAATGGGGATTCTATCCTTTCTCTTCCAGTTCCACCATCAGACTCCAGCACCACTTCGCAGTGCTTTAAGGGCCAGTCCGTTCTTATCACCGGTCTACAAATCGCACACGTGGGGTATGCGCCCATGCTGCCTCCTGAATGTAAGATTTGATGCCCTGAAGCATCCAAAGGTGTGCCGCAAGGTGGTGTCCTGAGCGTATCACTGTTCGCCATTATGATAAACGATGCCGGGGTTGGGCTGCCACTTTCTGTAGGTCGTGCCCTTTTTGTTGACGACTTTACCATCTGGACTAGCGCAGCAAGAGCTTCATCAATGGAGCGCCATCTTCAGTTGGCTGTGGATCGTATCGAGAAGTGGGGCACCATAAACGGGTTCAGGTTTTCTAGCAGCAAGACTGTAGCCATGCATTTCTGTCGTAGTCGGCAATGTGCAATATGTCTGTCCGTCTGTGTGGCCAACGCATCTCAACGGAGCCTGTGGCTAGATACCTTGGGGTATCCCTGACCGCCGACTAACATATAAGGCCATCTTAAGACGCTACGGTGAACGCTGTTTTAAATCCGTGAACATACTAAAATGTGTTTCGCGCGCACATCATATGGGGGCAGATAGAAGCAACGCTCTTACTATCGTATCGCTCAATCATACGTTCTAAGCTGGACTACGCATGTTTCATTTACGACAGCGCGTGTGGGGTCCACCAAACGCCGTCCTGGACACTGTCCATCATACCGCCCTACGCGTAATCACAGGAGCATTCCGCACATCGCCTGCCACGAGCCTCATGGTAGAATCGCACGAGCCGCCCTTGTCAGCGAGAAGGAAAATGCTCGGTATGCGTTATGCACTTAAGTTGGGACAGTTCCCCTCCCATCCGGCATGTAACGCATTTTTTTTCACGGCCTGCCATGCATTTTCGTCACAGTGCACCTCGGGCATATGCTGTAACCTTTGGCCTCCGAATGCAAGCTTTGCTACGGGAGAGCAAAATTCCCATTCGAAGGTTGAAGCGGGTAGATCATCTGTCCACCGCTCCCTGGCGTTTGATCTCGCCATCAATAGATACGTCTTTGACCGAAAGGAAAAAAGAATGTCGTCTTGCCAGATATAATGAGGTCGAGGGCACTTGAGCGTATGGCGTTATATAACGATTACACACTTA